CCTAATTTTCTATCTTTTCCTTGGAAACCTGTGGAGGGAGGTTTACAGCTTGCTTACAGCCATGCAGAGGCACTTGGAATTTTTCCATATTTGGAACCAGCAGCCATTCAGACACTCCAGTCCCTGGGGGAGCCAGGCTATGAGCTGTGCCTCTGTGCCAGGATATGAGCCCATCACAATGTCCAAGGACCTTGCACATATTTCCTGGATTTATCCTCAGCATATGCTGGAAGAAATAAAAAAAAAAAAAAAATTCCATCTCCCCCCCCAAACTCTTTGAAGAAAGAGTGGAAAATGTTCAGCCTAGTCTTGGTAGAAAATACAGAATTTTCCAGCATTTATTAGCCTTGTGTATTTAAAGATAGGAACACTTCAAAGCAACATCTGTTAGTCATGATCTGTATTTACCCTCTCCAGCACAATGGGATCCGACTCATGGCTGGGTCATCCGAATTCATTCCCATCCCAGAAAACTGAAATGTGTGGATGTACCAGACCAATTTCTGGGAACTAGACAGCATGAGGGCATTTTTTCAACCGTAAAACAAATGAATATTTTGATTTTCCCCATTTTTCCCCTCTGTATTTTGAGTATACCAATGCACGCATACGCCTCCCCAACCCAGAGGGGAAAAGGGACATTATTTCTGAAATTGACCATTTCAGTGTCAGTGTGGTTACAGAAATACTGGAGAACTTCAAAAGCCCTCCAGCTCTTCTCCATGGGGATGAAGAAAAGTGGTCTTTGGAGCCCTCTCTCATCCCTGGCTCCTGGGTCAGGTGGCCAAGGGATCTACATGGCTGCGTAGACACAAACTGGGACACAAACTGGGAATCTTGCAAAAATATATGAATGAATTGAGTAAAAGGTGTGCCTAAAACTTAAAACTTGCCTTTCACATCCTCTTAGAACTGCTTGAAAGCCTAAAAGTATCATGGCAAGCATTTAGTCCAAGTTCTTGTGCCTGTTTTAGAAGCCTGTATCCAATTTGGTATCTGGATATGGAATGTGGGGACAGGGTTTTGAGATGATGCTGGAGGTGCTGGGTGTCAAGTGGGACTAGATGAGCTTGGTTTCTTCCAACCTTGATGATTCTGCAGTCCTGTGATTTTCTGCAGAGCAGATTTCAAGTTTTTTGTGGAGAAAAATGACACCTTCAGCACGAAGAACACTGGATGTGAAGAGGCAGGATGAGCTGGTGGAACCAGTGCAGCAGTTTCACTCCAAGAGTTTGGAAGGACCTTCCCAGTTGTCTGCTGGTAGAGACACCTGAGGAAAGAAGGCTTTTCATCTCATGAGAAGGGAACTCCAAAGAAACCATGGAAATCCATCTTTCAGCTGCCCACCTTTCATCCAGGTGGGACTAAAAGTGCATCAGCTGCTTGATGGGAAGAACAGACTGCAGTGGGATGGAGGTGCAGTCAAAAAACTCCTAGATGGGAATGGTTTAGGCAGGAGGAGACATCAGGCCTGGCAATGTGCAAGGGAGACAGGGGGGGGAAAGGCAAAAAGAAAAAAAAAAAAAAAGGAAAAAAAAAAAACAAAGGAAAAAGAAGAAGGACACATCAACAATTGTCAGAGAAGAAGAGGGATAGGTTTGTGAAGTGGAATATGTCAAAGTTTGGCAAACACCCAGTCAAAGGGAGCGTGATAACAAACCACAAATATCTGGAAAGCTGTAAACACTGAGGCAGGCAAAGAACTCTGGAGGGTGATGCATGGGGAGTGCAATCACAAGGAATTACAAAATACAGAAATGGCAGGAAAACATAACAAAAAAACCAAAACCACCCACCTCCTTTTGACAATGAGATGTGTTGGGCTCTGTGTAATGGGAATGGGTGGAAATACCCTGGAACTGAGACCTTTTCAAAGGAGAAGGTTAAGGAAACATCAGTAAATGTACGGTAGAAAATAGTTTTGTCATAATGAGTTTGTTATAATAATATCATAATTTTGTTATAACAGTTTTGTTATGATGTTGTAATAGATGGGTTTGGTTTCCCAAGCAGAATTCCTCACTGCTTCTAGGATTGGGCACAGAACATTAATCTACCCCTTAGGTTTTTATACAATATATATGGACCAATACTCTGGCATTTAACCCCAACATTTTCTGAGCCTGGTTTTAGAAGTCCTCAATCCAGTGATTTAAAAGGACATCTCATAAATTCCTGGCCTAAGAACCGTAGGTGTTTTGTTAGTTTTCTTGAAAATATGTGCCCTTTAAAAAAAAAAAAAAAAAAAAAAAAAGCTGGGTTGGGAGCTGACAAGAAAGATGGAGTGGGACTTTTTACAAGAGCCTGGAGTGCCAGGACAAGAAGAATGTCTTTAAACTGACAGAAAGCAGGGTTAAATGGGATATTAGGAAGAAATTTTTCCCTGTGAGGGTGGGGAGTCCCTGGCATAGGTTGCCCATGGATCCCTGGAAGTGTCCAAGGCCAGGTTGGATACTGGGGCTTGAAGGAACCTGGGATAGTTGGTGTCCCTGTTGGAACCTTTATTTCCCTTCCAACCCAAACCACTCTGTGATACCATCAAATTAAAATTTGAAATAAATTTCCACATTCCAGTTGGCCCAAATAGCCTCATTAACCATCTCAAAATATTCTCATTAACCTTTCTGCAAGCAGAGCTCGTTCTGGGTCGTGCTCTGGTGGCCTTGCAGCTGGCAGTGCCCAGGGGACAGCAGCAGAGCCAGGACACTTTGGAGGAGGCAGGCAGGATCTGCTGTGAAGATATCCAAGGGCTCCCACCACTGCCCAGAGAGGGAATGAAGGATTTGTCTTGCATCAGGAGGTAAAATTCAGTCAGGAATTAACCAAACTCTTTGGATGGATGAGATGCCCTTCTGACTAACCAGCAATTTAGATAATCAGAGACTATTTTCCTAATGTGACCAAAACTTGAGAAGATGGCACAGAATAACATAATGAGATGACTAATCATATGACACAGGCAAAATGGTTTCTTCTACCTTTAATGCACATGTAACACAAAATTTATTTTAAATTGATATTTTAAAATATTTATATAAATATACAATTATATTTAAAATTATATTTTAGCTGGGGCAAGAAATATAATGGTAGAAAAATTTGCAGAAGAAAAGTCTGAATCCCTGATGATCTGTGGGGAGTTTAACAGGCTTGTGGAATTTGAGGTACCAAGTGCAGCCTCTTTGGAATCTGGGTAAGGTTTGCAGCTTGGCTGACAATTGACTTCGAAAGAAACTCTAATTTAAATAAAGGGGCTAAAGTTATTAATATTACCAATTTCTACAAAAGTGGGCACATCAGGGCCAGGCTGTCCAGGAGCTAAATGGCAAAGAGAAGATCCAGCCAAGGTCTTGGGGTCTGTCTGAGCCTCCCTGAACGTCTCTCATGGTGTGGACACGCTGATCCTCAGCTCTGCCTGCACTGGGCTCATCCCTTGCCGTGGGCACAGGGAGATCCTACAAATAACCCCAAGGCAGCAGCAGCAGCAGGGCCTCTCCATCCTTCACTCCCCTGTTTTCCAAGGTTCCTGGAAGGCAGGGAGCAGCTCCTGAAGGGAGGTGTAGCCCTACAATGGGTGACCAGGGAGCTTCCCACGGCCAGCACGAGGATTTTGCTCTTCACACGAGGGGGTTCCATCTGCTCTGGCTCCATCCCTGTCCCAGGGTCTGGACCCCAATGCCAGGATGTTGTTCCCATTGCACAGGACAGGCACCACAATCTGGAAGTCCTGCAGGCAACCCTGTGAGCACTGGGGATGCTTTGGAGGCCTCCAGGCACATCCTTGCCCATCTGAACAAAGACCTTCTTTAAACCTGCATTTTTAGTGTTTAATGAAAAGCTGGTTCAAAAAGACACTTACCATTTCCGTTTGGAAGAACACATGAAGCAAAAAGAGAGGATCTGTGGATTTATTTCCACTGAAAGGCAAATTATTATCTTTATAGTCACACACAGGTGTGCCTGCCTTAACTCCATAACTTTCTAAAATAGTGACTGACCTTTTACAATAGTTCTTTGGTGTTTTTGTTTTTTTTTTTTTTTTTTAAATACCCCTGCTCAGGTCTCACACACAATCCTGTGCTTACAAACTGCCAGCAAGACACTCCTAACACCAAGCCTGGTGAGTTGGCTCCCATTGCTCCCCAAGAAATGGATATGCAGAACATCTCCTATAAAACCTGAAACCACACCCATTTTGTCTGGGAAAAAGGACACAAAAGAACAGCAAAAAGGAGGGATGCAGAGAGCTGAGCTGTCTGGGATTCCTGCAGCAAACACTGTGAGAGCCACTCATAAATGTCAGGGATGATTTTCCAGACCAGTTCTTCAGATGGTGTTGGGAAAGAATGGATTTTTGCCAGTAGGCACCAGATGCAGTTTTGGGGCCCAGGGTACAGAGTGGGAAGCCTCTAAAGCTAGAAGAGAAAAATAAAAAACCCTGCCCTTTGTAAAGAGCCAGGATGGGCTGCAGTGACAAATGAACAAAGCTGCCATACACTCCATTCTAAAGTGGGGAATAATGGAAATTATTCATTATTCACTTTATTTACTAATAATGATACAAAATGTATTAAGGGCAAGGGGGCAAAGCAATTCAACACACAATTCAGGAGGAAGATACATCTCAGGGTGAGATTTTGCAGCATAACTTCAACGAAAGATAATTTCTGAGCATGAATACTCTTCCTTAGAGGCCTCCCTTAGGCTTCATTTCCAGCCTTGGGAGTGGAGCTGTCGATGAATTAACTGGGGATGGTTGCAATCTCTGGGCCAGAGGAGCTCAGCACGGGGATGGCAAGGCACTGTTGAAGAAGGACTGGAAGTGTTTCAGCAGAACTGTCTGGAAAAGAAGACACACAGCACCTGTGCACTTTAAACTCAGGCTGTTTGCTCCTACATTTTCACAGCCCAAAAATCCCGGCCTATTTTAACCTGGTGAGTAGCAGACCTGGCACGGGTGTCACACACAAAAAATGCAAACACAAATGCAAACCACAGTGTCAATCTGAAATTGCCATGCTAGGCCAAGCTTATTTTATTACATACATTCTGCAATCTAAGGACTAATATGTTCATAATGTAAACATTAAGCATACAGAGTTAAAATTCAAGGCCACAATAGTTTTTTTTTTGGATTGTCCCTTTTTTTTTGTTTGTTTGTTTTTTGTGTGTGTGTGTCTTTGGTTGGCCGAGATCAACTCGTAGTGTATAAATGCATAAGTTATATAATAATTATATAAAAAGGAAAAAAAAAATAACATTGAACTTGTATACTTCATTCTGACAAACGCACAGCGTTCGCGACTCGGTAAGAAAAACTGGCGCCCGCCTAACAAAAATACTCAGGTGATTTCTGATTCTGGCAGTCAGGGGTTGTCTCTTGCTCTAACCAATAGAAAACAAACTCCCTTAGTAATGATGAGGTTCTGACTGGTAACTTTTAAATATCAGACACAATTCCAGTTTTGCTTTTGGTTTTTTTCCCTAAAAAAAAAAAAAAAAAAAAAAAAAAGAGAGATGCATATTCTGATTTCCCGCTCCTTCTGCTTTTTCCCTTTTCCCACTTTTTATTACTACTGAATCAAGTCTGTTCCTCCTGAAATACTGGGAATGGTACAATACTGAGCAATATGTTCCACAAGTCCAAACAAGTGTTTCTTCATAGTCCCAACGCTACAAAGTTTTCAGTCGTTTCAGTCTCTACTGGTCAAGAAGTTTCTTTCCTCCCCTTCTCACCACCTTCATCCTCCTCTTTCTCCTTCCTGCCTCCTCTATCAGGTGCAGGCCTCTGAACTACAATCACACACTTGCCCTCCAGCACATTCTCATTTCCCACGTTTGGCTCAGGGTTCCTGTAAAACTGTCAAGGAATCTGAAAGTTTGGGTTGTCTTCACAGTTTGAGTAGCTGATTTGCTCTGATGAATGGATCTCGTTTGACTTTAACTACAACACCGCTGGTCTATTCCAAATCAGCTTCCACACTAACCAGTCTCTTCTGCTGATATGTTTATATTTTTTAAATACAGATAGGCTTTTTTTTTCCTTTTTTTTTTCCCTTTTCCCTCTCTTTTGTAATGATCCATATACTGTATGTTAGGTCACTATAGACTTATCCTTATATTGCTGTAGTATAGTCCCAGTTTTGCACTAGCATGATATCAAACTTTACACACAAGCTTATCAACTTTTTAAGACCACCAGCTTCCGTAGGTTTTCCTTATCATTTCATGCTTCTACCTACAATAGTCTCTTGTTGTTTGGTCCACAGAGTCGATGCCCATATACATTACATTTTAGTATCTTAATACTTCTTGGATATTTCCTTTAAATCCCTACTACAAAAAGTCTTTTTGACATCTATTTTTAAGGCGGTTTTGGGGTTTTTTTAATCCCAGCCCAACCTTCACTTGTCTCTTTAGGCACTTTTAATTCGAGTACTCCAACAGAGTTCATTGCGACTCCTCAGGGACCGAATCCCAGTGAGAAGCAGCTTTGCTTTGCCTGGTGTTTATCCTCCCCACCCCACTTAGTAGTAGGTGCCAAGATGAGAAGGCATATGAGCAGCTGGCAGCCTGGTGTTGGGGTAGATCCCTCCAGTCGGCGAATTCCAGTACGGATTGGGGGCAGCGAAAAAGCTGGAGGATGTCACGGGCAAGGCAGGGGGGTGGGGAGCCACAAAGTTCATCTTCTGCGGGTGCGCGTGGTACGAGCTCATGTAGGGCAGGTCCGACGGGTATTTGTACATGGACGACTCCGGGGGGTGAGGCTGCAGGGCCTGGGCGATGCCGTGGAAGTCGAATTTGTAGGCGTAGCGCTTGCCGTGCACCTTGGTCATGATGTTCTTGTCGTAGTAGTAGCGCAGGGCGCGGCTGAGCTTGTCGTAGTTCATGTTGGGCTTGCTCTTCCGCTCGCCCCAGCGCCGCGCCACCTCGTCGGGGTCCGTCATCTTGAACTCGCCGTTGGTGCCCTCCCAGGTGATGCAGTTGGAGTTGGAGCTGTCCGACAGCAGCTCCAGCAGGAACTGCCACAGCTGGATCTGCCCGCTGCCTGCGGGGAGGAACAGAGCGGGAATGTCAGGGCTGGCATTAATAATGTCAAGGCGTCAGTTCTGCAGGCTCTCCCCGAGGACCCCATTAGGAAATGTTGTGATGTTGGCTCCTAATTCTTTCTATTAGCCAGTCCCCCTTCTCCCAGGACTGTCTCACAAAACCCTGAAGAGCGGGGATAATTGTAATGTGTCGTGTTTTCCCTCATGTGAGTGGCAGAATGCCATTCCATGGAGATTTAATTGTTACCTAATGTCATTCAGCGCAGACAATTGATGGGGAAATAATACAGCGCTCATTTAGGAAACTAATCTCTAAAGTTCAGCACAAACAGCTTTCACTTGCGTAACACTCGGCTTGTTCTCACAGCATTATGTTGCAACTAAATGTTCCTTGCTATGGAATGAGCCCACACAAAATGGAGAAGTTTAGAGCAAGCTGGGCCCGTGCCAAACCATATCATCCCTTTGCAGCATTTGGGGAAATGCACAACGGAAACTTATTAGCTTGCTGTTACACTGCATACAACCAGAGGGCAAAACAACTGCAAGAACAGTGAAAAGGTCCATAAAATACATCCTTGTCATCATTCTGCTTCCAATGAGTTAAAATCATTGTTTTATGTTAAGACATAAAATGTTGCTGTTGTATTTTTCTCACTCTCTGCCAATTCCACCGCAAAAAGAAAACAGTCTGCCGTGAACTTTGCAAAAGTGAGGTAGGGCAACAAAATTTGTCCATTTTAGACAAGTGAAAGTAGATTTCAAAGGGCCTTGCCACTGATAGTCATGTTAGAAGCTTAGCATTTCTTAACAAAGCAACACTGAAATGATGCAAAATGCAGCTGAAGCAGCTTGCGATGCAATCTGTTTCACAAGCACGGTGTCAGCAGAATTTGCCAACCAGCCTGGATGTGCTAACTCTGAACTATGTCTCTGACCAGGAATAGGTTGGGTTTCTTTCTTTTTTTCTTATCCAAACCAGTTATGTGGGTATAATAAACAAGCTTTTCTTTAGAAAGCTTATAGTAGCAATTACAGTATCGAGCTAGAACAGCATCTGAAACCCATTAGCAGTTTATACTTCAGTGCAACTGAAACCCATATTCATTTAAATTGTATTTATCCAAACTGGCCTTAATGAATTTCTTCTGTTCCATTAACATGCATTAAATAAACAAACAAACAAAAGAATCCATGGTATGAGCAAGGCATGCAAGTTTTAATACACGAAACATAACAAGAGGATTAGGCTTTGAAAATCAATAAACAGTTCAGCACTGGACAAAACACAAATTTTTGAATAAGCAATCCAACATATGTTCTAACATAAACACTTGCCTTCCAAATGTAATATATAGTCCTATGAAAATAAATGGTTGCTGTCAATTTCCTTTTAATGAGAGAGTAATTCCACCGATTTATAAACACACAAAACATGTTAAAGCACAGGAATGATGGCGTGGAGGAATTCCATACCCAAATGTTAAAAAAGCATCCCAATCCAAATCGTGTTAATGTCATTCACAGCAATGAAGTCAACCAAATGGACACTTGATAAAATTTGGCAAGCCATGATTTATGACCAAATTAAAGGGATGTAGGTCCCCACTTCCAGTCAAGACCAGTGTTGCCTGGAAACCTCCACCACCTCAGGTCATTTGGAAAATCCTATTCTTAACACTTACTTAATTACTTTCCTCTGCCACACTAAACAGTTTAGAGAATCAGCTAATCTAGAAATGTGCTTGATGTCACTTTGGAGAAAGTGAAAGGAAACTGATCAGCATTTTGGCAATTTCAGGCCTTGAAAAGATGTAAGATTGCTGTAAAAAGAACCACTGTCACTGGGGGCTGAGGAGATCTGTGTGGAAAGAGGAATGTACTCTGCGACTGTCCAGGCAAGGGACACAAGTGGAACACACAGTCTCAGCCCACTGTGGTGGCCTGTGGTGTTGATCATGGTGCTGTACAGCCACAGCAGTGAAATCTGCACAATTCCCAAGCAGAGCTACTAAATCACCCAGAAGATCCCTTGTCTTCAGCAGAAACATGCTGGTCCAAGGTTGCACTCGATGATCCTTGGGGTTTTTTCCAACCTGAGCTACACATCCCTATCCACAATGCACCCCATTGCCTTTTTGAGGTGGGAGAACATTTTTGAAGTGTTTAATCCAGTTATTATTTGCAAATAGATTATAATTTCCTGGTGTTTGTTTTCTTTTTCCTATATATTTCATCCCAAAATTCTGTATTCATCCAGGCCAGTATGATATTGTGTTGTGGATTAACAGAATCTGGGACACAGCTGATAAAGAGTGGTTAAGAGATCTGAACCCTTCTGGAGGGGGTAACTGGAGACCAGATGGGGTCTCTTACACCCCTTAACCAAATCCTGATGTTCAGGAAACTGAAGTGAACTCCAGCTTCAAAGACTGGACTCTTTGGAGGTCCTTTCCAACCTTAATGATTCTAAATTCCTCAGTCCCACCCTTGTGTAATTCAGAAATTCTGCAACACATTGGGTATCATCAGCTCCCCCTGAGGAGTGGGAAAATCAGGGACATCCTCTTCCAGGTCTGCTCTTACAGCTGAAGTGGGGACACTCAGCAGTGAAAGAAAGAAAAGCCTCCTAAATCAGCAAAATCCCTTCTCACCTGGATTTGCAAGTCGGCTGCTGGTCGGTCCCAGAATCTGATATGGATCTACAGAATGGTGAAAAAAAGATTTCAAATCATACAACAGCATTGTCACATATTTTAGGTACCATTTCTGAACCTTGCAAGGGGCAGTGTGCACTGCCTGATGGGACAGCAGGTCAAACACCTGAGCAATTTTCTCCCTCTGCATGGCAATATTTGCATGTTTTCCTTTCAAACTTGGTGTGCAAGGACATACATTTGCTTTTTGAACTGTACTAATGTGCAGATGCATATACTCAGAATGTAAACTTTGTTATGAAGCATTCTGGTGGTGGAATCCCCATCCCTTGGGGTGCCCAAGGAAGGCCTGGATGTAGCACTCAGTGCTCTGGGCTGGGAACAAGGTGGGGATGGCTCACAGGTTGGAATCAATGGCCTCAGAGGTATTTTCCAAGCTCAGTGATTCTGCGATTCTCTTTTGTCACTGGACTCCAGTGTGGGATCCCATGGATCAACCCTGCAACTGGTGTTTTCAGAAGAGCCTCTGTCAGCCTTACCATGCCTGTAGCATCTCAGTGTTTAAACTAAAATTTGCTTTGGCCTGAAGTCCAGCAGGGGAAAATGGAGGGCTGTGACAGCAGGAGCAAAGCCAAAGTGAGGGGCTGCAAGCACTGAGTGACCCTGTGGCTTTTACAGCCACAAAGACAATCAGGTTACGTTCCTTACACATTTAAACAATCTGTGCAGCTCGCACACAGCCATTAAAAGGTCCCCAGGACTTACATAAATCATTGGTATATTTCTAGGAAGATTCTAGTGGTTGAAAGGCCAAATTAGATAAAACACTGTTTGGGCAAAATTCAGTGTAATACTTCCCAGGCAGTCTGTGCACGAGTTAATGAGACCTAGTCATGCACAGTCTTGTTTAGCTCTAACAAAAACCAGAATAATGATTTAAAATCCATGTGATAAAATCTGGCTCAGAGTCTTCTGAGCTAAGAATATCCTCTAAATCTCTTTTATTTCCTCCTTCTAACCTTTTGCTGTTAACAAAAGCCATGACTGACTCAGGACCTTTGGAGTGCTCTCCAGCTACCTGTCCAAAATACAGCTGAATTTGCAATAAGGGATTAGTTCCCATCCCAAGGATTTGGAGCTCTGAAAATACAAAAGGCACCCATTTTGCTAAACCACTACTCTACAAACCCATAAACTTCTGCTTTCTCCTCAGTTTTCCAACAGACTGAGAATCCCTCTAATATTCCTGTTGTGTTTCAGGAGCCCAATTCAGAAGGGTTTCTGCAGGCTGTAATCCATTCCCCCTTTTATATTTTTTTTTGCTCATGCACATTTTCCAGCTGCTGGAATCTCAACCACTTGGGTCTTTTGACATCTACACCTTCCATCTTTGTACCCAAATTGTAGATGGATTGTTTTAAGAGCATTTTTATTCTGGAAGGTTGTCACTGCCTTTAAACATTACACTCATCCCAAATCCAGCTGCAGAGCAAACCCCATTCACATCTGGGCTTTTGGTGGTCTCCAGCTGGAGCAGTCTGAACCAGATGGGGCAGTTTGGGTGCCCTTCTCATCATATTCAACAAGCCCAGGCAGAATTCAAACCAAGTGACACCCACCTAACTGAGGACGCTGGTCTTCTGTTTTGGGAACTGTTGAGGATGATGGCTGAGTAGCTGAAAATGGAAAAAAAAAGTCCCATATAGTTATTTTTCCAGTTAGGAAGTTGCTCACCAAACCTCTGAGAGGTCGCCAGGCCTGGAGCTCCTGCTGCCCTCTGCTCCAGGATGGACACAACAGGATTGAAAGCTCATTAAAACCTTTTTAAGGCTCTGTGGTGATGGACTTATGAAGTTTAAGTTTAAGGAAGGATGTGGCAGCCCCGTGACACCTCCCAGCATTGCCTGTACAACTGGCTTTCCAAAAATGCACAGATAAAAACCCTCCAGAACTCCAGTAATTCCCTTTGGAGTCTAATCCGTGTTTCCCCAGCTGTGCAGATGCTTTTACCTTTTGACTGAGGGCTGGGGTGGCTGTGACTCGTCCATGCTGATCTCCTGGCTTGCTCATAAGGCAAATCTGTGAAGGAAAAATACATTTATTCATGCAGATATGGCCTGAAGTGGTTATGTCCAAAAAGGGCAAGTTTGAGGGGACTAGGGATTGGGAAAATTACTGAAACAGGCAGAGAATTCTTTGTTAAAGCCTTTATCATCTTTATTGTCTCTAAAAGCAAGAGTAAAAACAACAGTTGTGCTCTGTAGAGCTGCCTGCTGTTGTCAGAAGTCTGAGCTGCACTGAAATAGGTGGTGCAAAGAATCTTTAGAGACAACACAGAGTCCATCACTTCCAAAGGTTCAGGGTACCCCCTTTAGTCCCCTTCCTCAGCCCAGCACACCAAGGAATGGCACACACTGGCATCATGAATAATCTGTGCTAGAATCTTGCAGAAAAAGTCTCCCAAGGGCTCATTTTATGCATAAGCCCTCCCAAATTCAGCATCTAACAGTGTTTCCTTTTAAGAAGAAAGGCTTTGGTTGATTTATTCTGTTTTGCTTCTTAGGACAAGCTTCTTAAATTTACACATCTAAATTTTCATTTCCCTTTCTTTCATTTATTCTTTATAATTACTCTTAGAGTTAATGCTCCTACTATTTTATTTCAGTGCTTTAGCATATTAGAAAAAAATGAAAAAATGAAACCATAAAAGCTTTCTTCATAAAGCAAATGTAGTAAATTCAAATGTTTGGTTTACCCTTAGAAATCTTTGGCAGTTTCCTGTGCTTTTCCACAGCTGACTTTAACACATTAGCTAAAATTACTGCCAAAATCAGAGACTTCTGTAACTTCCAGGGCCTCAGGAAGGTAGCAGTGCCCACCTGGTGGAACTAAGTTGGTGCAGATGTCTTGACTCTCAACACTACTTGTGCTATATTTCAGAATTCATGTTTGGAAATGAAACCAGAAAGCAAAGAAACAGCCCCAGCCTGGCTCTGTGCAAGGCCCACTTCCAAGCATTGCATGGAAATAAAGTGTAATGTAAAATGCACAACCAAATTGCCTTTAATTTATTTAGTCTGTTAGCTCTGCTACCTCCCAGAATCCCACACTTCAAAACCTTTGCTTTTGCTGAGATTTGCAGCTGATTTTTGTGCTGCATTTTCATAATGAATAACCATGTATTCCTGATTTCTTGAGGACTATTCCACAGCTTCAGAGAAAATAATGTGAATTTTACAGCTGCTCATCTCTGAGCAGAATATGAATCAGTGTGACCTGCAGATGTCCTGCCCAGGCTGAGACCAGCACTGCTGTTTATAAGAGACTTTGCCATCTGGCAAAAAAAAATCCAGAATTACTCTGGTCGTAATTCCAGTGGGTTCTGAGTTCTGTCTGCAGAGAGGGGGCTCAGCTGTGGGGAGCTTGCAGGTATCTTGTGCCTTGCCTGGCCACTTCCCTGCTCCATGGCAGGTTCTCTACCTCCTCTCTAGATTCCCTTGCCAGATTCTGATGACATAAGGAACCTGTTTTTTAACTTCCAGTTTTCTACTCCCTGCCCAGAAAGACATTATCCTAACCACAATTCCACCCACAATCTCTTCTCTTTTCTTTCTTATTTTTCTCTTTTCTTTCTTTCTTTCTCTCTCTCTTTTCCTTCTCCTTACTCCCCTCTCCCTTTTCCTTCTCCTTTCTTCCTTTCTTCTCTCTCTCTCCTTTCTCCTCTCTCTCTCTCCTTTCTTTCTCCCTTTCTCCCTTTCTCCCTTTCTCCCTTCCTCCCTTTCTCCCTGTCTCCTCTCCTCTCCTCTCCTCTCCTCTCCTCTCCTCTCCTCTCCCCTCCTCTCTCCTATTTTTGGATCTCCAAACCATCAGACACCTGTGCTGTGTGTGCTTGTACTTGGTGGCACTTGAAACACACTTGGTACAAATTCAGTACTGTGAGAAAAATGTCTTGCCTTATAACTCATCACATCACAAGATGATCTTCTGACTACGCCCTCTCCATGAGAAGAAAAATCACATTATCAGCTTTTCTTGAAATGGAGCAAAGCTCCAGCTTCATGCTTGGTTCAGCACCGTGCCTTGATAAACACGTTGTTACTGCAGATAAGCTGTTCTTGTGCATGAGACACCAGCACAACATGTCCTTATCTGGGACAGATCCCTGATGGGAATGCTCCTGTTTGGTGAGACAAAGCCCAGCCAGGTGTCCCAGAGCTCCTGAGAGCCTCATTGTCACTGAAACCTCATGTTCTCTTGTGAAGGTGACTGGAGAAATCCTCCCTTGCACTGAAGCCCTGCTCATTTCCCATTTTCTATTGTAGTGCCTTAACAATGGCAGTGCTTAATTACTCTCTCCAGAACTGCACCCCAGGATTTGGCTGATTCCCACTGAACACTATTTATTCCCCCCACTCCTCATTTTTGACCTTTTTCATGTCATCAAGTGGCTGTCCCCAGGGTCTGCTTTTGCTCTCACATGAACAGTGCTTTGTTATGGGAAAGCTTCTTTGCAGTCTGGTTGAAATGTGACATTTAACTCAAAGGAAAACCACAGAATAAGCCAACAAAACAGTTTCCTGAAAGAAAACTGAATTTCTCCAAAAAACCCCTTTTTCTCTGAATAAAAATTCTGACTTTGAAGACGTCCGTCAACTTTCAATTGTAAAAGATAAATTAAAACAATACTTCCAAAATCACTACAGTTCTTTGTAGAAAATGTTCAGTTCTGCACAGAAGAACCCTGAAACCAAACTGCAATTCCAAGTAATTGTGTGAATGCAGAAAGATGCTGACACAAAGCATTTTGTTAAGTGTCATTTTAAATGTGAGTTAGATAAAAATGCTGGAATGAAGGAGCTCACCATGTCTGGTAGGTGGTTTAGAACCTTTTCCTCTAGAGAAAATTAACATTTTATTTTTCCATCACACATAGGATGAAACAAATATGGAAATGATAGACCTTGTCAGGGAACAAAAAAATCCCAATTTTGATTCAAGTCCAGTGGAAAACAGACTCATTCCAGCATTTGCCTGAAATCCTCTCCTTTGGAACACCTTTTCCTGCAGGACACCAGGTCCCTCTGGTCTTATGTTACATGTTCATTTCTGCTGGGAATTACTGAGAGTTTGTTTGGAGCCTCTGGGTTTTTGTTTGATGATTGTTTCCATAGTTCTGCTTGGTTTTCTCATCCCTATTTTTGCTGACATTCCCCAGCGTCCCTGAGAGCTCCTGGGTGCCCCAGTCTGCTTTAATGCTCCATGAAAATGTTTAATTTATTCGGAATATCACTTCTTCTTATACTGACACTAAGCAGGTACTCTGTCACTCTCTTTATTTTGATAATTATATCAAGTTTCCTCAACCCCAGACTATGATTTGAACAATTTCAAACCTCTGTATCTCTCAACATGCTCTAAAGATTTTTTCCATACTCCCATGGCTTTCCCAGGCGTTTCTAAGCACCTCCAAACTCTGCAAAGAGCCTTTTTGATATGGGATGATTGACACAGCTTTCCATGCAAGGCCACACTGCTGGGGTGTTTAGTGGCACAGCCCCATTTCCCATGGGATTCTCCACCCTGGCTCTTCATTTGTTCACATCTTTCACTTTGGCTGTCACTGTGCCATAAATAAAGATGACTCTGTTAAGTTGTTCCTTCATGAGTGAAGGGGGCTAATTTGGAACAGTAAGATATGCAAATAACTTGTGCCTTGTGCTGCTTTTATCAACTTGTGTTTTCAGTTGTTAATTCATTGCCAACTTGCTTGTCCCTAATGAACTTCCTGGGTACCTGGACAGGAATCCTGTATAGGAATCTCTGGGTTTAAGTAACAACAAGATCGTGGAATCACAGAATGGTTTGGGTGGGAAGGGACCTTAAAGATCACCTTTTTCCACCCCCTGCCATGGGCAGGGACACCTTCCACTGTGCCAGGCTGCTCCAGCCCCAGTGTCCAACCCGGCCTCGGGCACTGCCAGGGATCCAGGGGCAGCCACAGCTGCTCTGGGCACCCTGTGCCAGGGCCTGCCCACCCTCACAGGGAAGGTTTTCTTCCTTATATCTGATCTAAACCTGTAATTTTTCAGTTTGAAGCCATTCCCTGTGTCCTGTCCCTCCTTGGGGGACAATTCCAGCCCTTGGGAATTGTCTCTCTCCATGTTCCTGGGGCTCCTTCAGGCCACAATTCAATCACCCCAAAGCTTCTCTTCCCCAGGCTGAACAATCCCAAAATAACTTAAGATGTCCATTACTGATGACAGGATAATTAGCCAGTTCTTAATTTGTTTCTTATGATACACTGATTTAATTTCTGTTGTAAATAGTTGTGGGGTGTTTTGGTGAATGCCTTATGAAAGCCAAATGTATGAATTGGATCAGCAGTTCCCTTTTTAGCCATTAATATAAACAAACAAATCTAGCAGAGTTTGATTTCCAAGGATCCAAACAAGTTGAATTTCTTGATATAATGGCCTGGTAGTTGTTTCCTTTTCTCTCTTTTCTCATTATCAGTTACCAAATCTACAGACATGCATATATACACGTGTACAGGACTATATAAAATAATATCTGTATGTACCCTCCTGCACTTTACCCTAGAGCACAAATAAAATAATTCCTGTTCAAACTCCCTTTTTTAATGTGCCAATATCTCTTTTCTCCAGAGCTCAGCCAATTCCAGTGCATGTCCCTTCTGAGCACTTGGATTTTTGCCTCTGGCTCAGTAATGGATTTCCTTTAAATTCAGTATTTGCTGCAACTCCTCTTGATGTCCCTTAGTACTCTGCACTCATTATTGAAAAAGCAAATGTCCAGATTAGGCATTTTTCCAGCATTTTTTGTGGTGAAGGGTGATAAAAAGAAAATCTTTGGCTTCATAGCCATGTCCTCACCTTCTTTAATTATCCCCATCAGCCTTTCACAAATCAGCACATCCACAAAACTTTCACAGGTTTCAAAATTTTGGGCATTAAGAACTTCCTTATGTTTTGATTTTACTTAAGACTCTTAAACTCATAATCAGATTGCAGTGGGTTCTGCTTGCCTCAAACATAAATAAAATGTGGACAGCAGGAGAAGCATATATCCTGCATCTTTAGAGTATTTTTCCACAACAGACTTCAAATAAAAGGGAATTTTAGCCTCATGTTACAAACAGAGAGCTGAAGGGCATTGACAGGTGACTGTGCTGGGACAGTGCAACAGAACCAGTGAACAGAGCTCAGGTTTCTGATTCCCTGGTGCTTTAAAAAATTGATACAAATTGCTTCAAAGACAGAGATTTGTGGAAGAAATGGACTTATTAAACTGCTCTATTTAATTACTTCACTCTACACAATTATATACACATATATATGTGATTTAAGTATATAATGTGTGTGTTCAAAATAGAGCCTTATATTTATGAAAAGGGAAAAAGAATGAGACATTTCAAGAGATTAAATGAGTAAGATCACAGCACACAAAAAGTGGTCATTGTTCATACCTGGCCTGGCTGCAATTCTTTGTGTTGCTTCTGGATAAACTGATGTGTTTGGGAAAATAAAAGTGGCACCTCCTGAAGAGAAAGAAGAGGACATAACACCTAAAGATTCATTTCCACAGTCCCTAAATCCACCAGTATTTTCCCCTCCTGTAGAGTGAATGAGTGAGGAATCTGAATAACTAATTTCCACCTTTGGACTGTTAGATATAGAAGCTCATTCCAATAATCTTTACATCTATGTAAATCCACTCAAATTACTGGATAGAAGTCTGTGCAAAATGTGTTTTAAGAAGGAGACAGTCAAGCTCAGGAAATCCCTTCTACCACAACCACCTCCACCTGAGAAGGTGGCTTTGTACCCCCTGGAATAAAACCTCTTTGCCTTCATTACTGCATTCCCAGAAAGGTTCATATTTTCAACAGAGACTTTTGGGTCAGACCCTCAGATATCTCATTAATCTTCCCGAGTGAAAAAAATGAGAAGCATTGAGCTTGATGTAGAAAATGGAATCTCCCTTTTCTCAGGCATTGAAATTGCTCTGACTACAGCAATGGACTTCTCATGACCCTCTCCAGGAACATCAAAAAAGTCAATTACTGCTGATTTCAAGAACTTTTTTTCTAAGTCTTTTGTGGCCCACTGAAAATTGAACAACTGATTTCCCATATGCTGATGATCAGCACACCATTATTCACACTTTCCAATGACAGATAATCTCATTTTGGTGAAATGAATTTCAGAATATCATTGTCAGTGCACACATAGAGAAAAAGATAACACACAGAACTGCTGAACAACACTTGGATATCCACAAGTGGAAGCTGCTTGGCAAATGAGAATCTCTAAAGCCAGAGATGGAAAAGACCATCAAGTCCATCTATTTTTAAAAAGGACTTAAATCTTATCCAAACCACATCAAAGTAAATGGAAATTTTTTTTGTTGCCTTTGGTGGGGTTTGCAGCAGGCCTAGAGCCCAGAGCAGGACTTTGTTTGCCACTATGACCAGTGGCAAATGTCAGGGAGAGATCTTCTAATCCACTGAATTTTGCTATGAAACTCAGAGTGAAAAATTAAATAAAATATGAAAGAAACATTGCTATCCAAGTTTTGTTTTCTTTTTCTTTTGCATTATCCTTTGTATTATCTTTTTCCTTTCTCATAGAGAATTGTTATTTCTGGTCACTGTAGGTAACTAACACCCTCAGGCATGATCATGCAATATTCCAAACATATTTTGTAGGGATATAAACCACATTATTTGTACAATTCCATGCCATCCTCTGCTGCACAACTGTTACAGCAGGTTAAAACAGATTCTGAATTATTTTAATAAATACTTTAAGTTGCATCCTGAAAGACAGATGAGGCATGTGTCATTCTCTTGCCTAAACTCAACACTTTTTTGGGCCAAATTAACAGAAGGGTGAATATCAACAAAAATAATTTTAAATTCAGATCAGACTTAGTGGAATTCCCAGCTCAAGTCCCACAGCAGCTAGAAAATGAGATGAGCTAACTGCCTAAAGAGCAATTTTATTGATTCCCACAACATTTAGCTCATGGGAGGGGAGGCATCCCCATCCTCCAGAGCCCGAAGCACTTCTGAGCTCCAAGAAGCTTCTAGGGATCCATGGAGTAGATCTGGCAGTAGAATGGACAAAAGGACCATAAAAATCCTCAAATAAGAGGCCCCAAACCTGCAGTTTTATCCTGTGTCAGGGACCCCACTCTCTTGCAGGACACAGAAATTTTTGCACCATTTTTGCACCACCTGGCCCTGCGTGATCTCACCTTTTCTCTGTGTGTCTGTGCAGAAAACAGACAGACAGCCAGGAGGGGATTCTCTTGCCTCCCTCCTGATTTACCACTTCCATTTTTTTTAGCAAGCAGCCCATGGAAAGGAATCCTGTGCTTTTAGAAGATGACCTACAGCAGTGGGAGCAGTGCCAGCATTACCTGTGTTTCTAGCATGCATTAACCGTGGAGAGTTTTGTAAGGCCTTATCAACATCATCTGAAGTCAAATGTGGAAGAGGAGCTACAAAACAAAACAAAAAGCAACACCAAAATGTAAAAAAAATAGTGAATTATCTTTTTAAACCATATTTTCCCCTGACAGGATTGCCTAAATGTGAATCTATCAACAGCCTGCAGTTTGGAGGGAGGTGTGTGGGCTACAGGGTAAATTAGGGCATTCATTTATCCAATATCATAATTTGTTGTTATGAATGCACAAAATTTCTGGCTGGTTATTGACAGTGTGCGTGTGGAGGAGACTGCACCGCACTGGTGTTGCAATGCTTGGTGGTTTTTTCTCTAAAAACCAGGTTCATTTTAACTTCTTTAAACTGAAACAAATTTTCCTCAAGCTTAGGTGAAAGCCCTCAATCCAGGTAATCCCTAGTCCCTTTTTTCCCATTGAAACTCTAGCCATGCACTACAATTAATTTGCATTTGGACTTCAGGGACTGTTCCTTTTTTTCCATGAATTTACAGAATTTTTTTTATTCATTTCAGTTGAATCTTCCCCATCCTACCCAGAGTACAGCAAACTCCTGTCATTCCTTAGAATCATGCCTGGAATTCACTTTATGAATCAATGTTTGCACTCTTGTTTCATTAAAATGGAAAGAAATGAGTATGTGACCAGAAAAAACATCAGCACTGAACCCCATGTGATTTTTCTTCCTGCTCAATATGCTTCAACTCAATTTCTCTCTGAGATGGATACCTAGAAAGAGTCCCTAATTCTTCTCCTTGATTAACATGAGAAAATGAAATCAATGAAAATCTTTCGTGATGAAATGAAAAAATCTTTCACAATGACATTAATGGGAATCCTTCCACCAAACTCAACAGGAATTGGGTTGGCCTCCCTGTTGTGCCCTCAGGAACAGCAACATTTGCAGCAGACATTTGGAAAACCCAATTATCCATAGCGATAAATCTAGGACTGAGCGCAGGCACCACGGAGGGCTGGCTTACTCTCTCTGAGGTAGTGTAGGTGTGACAGGAGGATGTCTGCGTTGTAGCTGGGGGTGAGCCTCTGGAAGTCATCCTTGGTCATTTTGCAGAGCTCCTTGCCGTCGATGTTCTGGAAGAGCAGGATGTCCACGTCCGGCAGCCCGTACTCCTTCACCGCCCACTCCAGCCACTGGCGCACGTGGTCAGTGCTCCACAGCGTGGGGTCTGCAGGGCCACACAGAGGGAAATCAGGCAGGGAAGGGGGGAATTCTGAGGCATTGGGCATGTGCAAAATAATCCCTCCTTCACTGACTGCTGGAGGAGTTAAGTTGGTGTGCTGAGTGCAAGGGAGAACAGCTGTGGGGAGCTGAGAGCTCTGAGTGCTAACAACAAAGGGACAAGGAACAAGGGAAATACAGGTTGGATATCAGGAAAAAGTTTTTCCAGAAAGGGTGATAAAGTTCTGGAATGGCTGCCCGGGGAGGTGCTGCAGTCACCATCCCTGGGGGTGTTTAACAAAGCCTGGATGTGGCACTGGGGGCCAGGGTTTAGTTGAGCTGCTGGGGCTGGGTTGGACTCCATGGTCTTGAAGGTCTCTTCCAACCCAGTGATTCTGTGAAATCTATGAGTGAGCTCCTTCTCCCACTCAGCTCTTCTGCCTCATTGTTTTTAGGCCTTTTTAGCCATTGTTTTTAGCTCTTTCTAACAGAGCTTCTGGCCCACTGACAGCACTGCATGCTAGAGCTCAACAAGTTTCAAAACTCTCTGTTCAATCCTTATCTTTATTCAAGTGAAATCTCCACTCCTGTCTAGAGGAATCTTCCTTGGGTACAGGCTAAATAAGCATTCACAGATTTGGGCAGCTATTTCACAGACCAGAGTGGGTCTCTAGTTAATAGTATTAGAATATTAAAATATTCTGCATTTTTTTTTCCCAGACTGCTGTGTTGTACATTGCTACTCCTGTGTGGTTTGTACTCAACACCTGAAGTATTGGCAAAACCATCTGGGGAAAAAGAGCCCCAAACAGTTGAGATTTTTAGCAAAATGTTTTTTAATGAATCCTTAATTTTAATTTAGGTTTTTTTTAAAATTTTCCCTCTAAACACCTCATTTTCTATTTCTCTCCCATTCTGTTTTTCCTTGTTCTTGGGTAAGGAACCAACACAAAGGTCCCTCAGCTCATACTACAAAGAATTTATATTTTTTGCAGAGAAAAGATTAAAGCCAAGAGGAAAAAATTCTTCAAGACTTTATTCCTTATCATCTTAATGACTCTGTGATTTTGTGATATTCTCAAGGCTGAGAATTGAGCACGTGGAGGTCAACTAGCTGTTGTTCATCCCATGAAAATCTGGGATATGAATGGCAGCCTAAATAGATTTCTATGGCTTAACTTCAGTGCCATTCCCTCTATTTTCACTGTTGTTCAGGCTGGTTTGAAAGAGGTGGAGACTTCCTGAATTCCACCAAAAAACACTTAAAATAACGTCTCCATCTGATATGAAATAAGCAGGAATATAGAGGGATGCAAGTCTGGTAGTAAATCTTACTACCATGTATATATATGTGGAGATTGTCCACATCTACAGCAAAGAACTCTGAGACCTTCAGTTTTCTCTGAAGTAAACAACCAAACCAAGAAATTTACCAAAATATTTTCATTATGTCTGTAATTTTTAAACATACCTTAATTATGATAAACAGAAAGTTACCACAGCTGGAAATTCGACTTCTAACTTTACTACATGACGTGCACACTGCCTATGCAAAAATAAAAAACAACTGATTTTTGCCCATTAATTTCTTCAAGTGACCTCAAAATGGCAAGACTGTGACCGTTTTGCTCCTTGATAGTCATTCAAACCCACCTCAAACACACCTCCAGGAACACACTAAATAAAAAAATCCCTTGCTGAGCTAACCATGCTAAGAATTACTAAACATGGTCTTTTTTTAAAAGGTGTCAAACACCAGGAAGAGAAATGTTTTAGGAGAACATTCAAAAGCTCTGTGTTTCAGTGTTGGCAGGACATTTTTTATTCAGAGCATCACTCTCCTGTCTCCAGAACAGAATTGACAATACCACTGCAGAGGACACTGCAGCAGATTTGTCCACACCTTTCTTGACAAATAACTGAAATAATCACAGCTTGCAAAACTGGCCACAGTCAGTACTCTTGCATGTCTAAGCAACTGAAAAACTGTAATAACATTAAGCAACATGGCAGAGGCAGAAATATTTCACACAAGCACCTCTCTGCTGGAGAGGAACCACCAGCAAAAAATTCCCTCCTGAATGCAGGTGTTGAGTTTACCCTGTGCACATCCTGTGGTTTGGGAACACCCACAGATGCCATGATGCTGTGACTTGGAAACAGGCACACTGATTATTCTGCAAAATGTTCCAGGTCTGTTTGGAGGACAAGGCAGCCAGAAGTGCCAAGAAGGCCTTTGCAGAATATTTTGCAGAAGGCAGCAGCCTTCTTGTCCCATCAACTGTTGAATCCCACAGCCAAGCCTGCCAAGGCTGACCAAGAATTTCTCAATTGTGCTCTTACATTGCAGAGGAGTTGTCAGTTTGCTTATTAAAATGTTTTATGCTGCCCAGACTCAGGGGATAACCCACATAAAGGCTCTTCATGCCCTGTTTGATCCCAGAGAAGCTACTTTTTGGTATTTTCAAAGATAACCTGTGCTACAGGGATCCTTTCTCTCTCTCTCCCACATACCCTGCACCCAGCTTGTCCAAGGGATAAGAAATGGAGGTGCTTCTTCCTTTTGCTCATTTTAGGGTGAAATCCTCCAAGAAGGAGCTACAGGAGTCAGATAAGATCTGAGTGCCTCATATCAGCCCATTCTGCTGCTGAAATGGGAAGAAGAGATTGAGGAGGTGTCCTCACTGATCCTCCTCAGCTCATTCTCTCAATAACCCCTACAAATTACTGCTCTTTTCCTCCTGATCACCACTTTTCTCCAAACCCTCTCAAACAATCTTAGTGGGCTTGAGGGAAATGCAGCTTTTTCAGCTTGCAGTTTTGGTGTAGAGGGTCTAACCTGCTGGCACAATGACTCTTCGTTCGTTGGTCGTCATGTTTGGGGGTGGAACGTGCTTCTCCTCCATGTAGTTTCCATAGTTCATCCCAACACTGTCTGAGCTGCTCACCATCTTCCCTCCTTTTGCCACGCTGCAGTCATCTGGAGAATTCCTAGGCAGACAAGAAAGGTGTGCTTCCATCATTATTCCAGTCCTTATTAATATCACCAGAAGAGAATCACCTGGAATGAAGTGGAAAACTGGGATTTGAGCACCTGGAAAAACCAGTACCCCCCACCCAGGGACTCTGCAGATTCCTTCAGTTGTCTAAAAACACCAACCAGGTTCAATGGACCATATATTTATTTCTGCTACCAAAGGATCAGGCTCTCATTTCTCTCCAGAAATTATAAATGCTAATAATTTAATTCCAGACATGGAATGGAGGCTTGGTCATGAGCTTGTTCAGCCTGGTGGCTGCAAGGAGCTGCATTTCCCTCTCCAAACACCTCACAGACAACTGAGAAACACAGAAATGCACTTATTGCATATTTCTGGGGGGAAAACTATTCTTAGTTGCCATTGTCCAAGCAGCTCAGGGCTTGGAGAGCTGCCCACCTCCACTGCCATCGTTGTTCCACACTCAGTTGCACTTCATGTCATGCAATGTATTCACATTTCTACGTCAGGCTCACAAAAAAAGGGAACATTTGCCAAAGCCATGATTCAAAATACCACACGCACGACTGGAAAAACCTTTCAGCTCCTGACTAGCTCAGTCTCCATGGTACTGTAGTCAAGACAGGGAAATCTGCAGAGGATCTGCAACCAGACACCTCTTTAATTTTGGCTTTGCTTTCTGAATAGAGTCTTTAGGTTTAACATCCCACAGGGGGTTCCCTAATGGCATTTTAATTGCATCACAGTTTTCTTTCTGGCAGACACAGACATATTTGTCCCTTAATTTAATGTCTACAACGTGTTTCATCAGAGGGAGAAAAATTGTTACAAAAATCAAAATAAAGAACTCAGCCATGGGGAATACCTTTAAATGTAAAGAGTTTGTTTGGCAAGGGAAGAAGGGTGTTAGCTGGGGTTTGGTTTCTTCAGCAATACCTCATTACTAACAAGCTTTCCTTTAGTCTGCCATTTAACTCCTGAATTGTGCTGTGGTCTCACTAAACAAGAGGCAAGTCATAGATTCATGGAATCATGGAATTTCAGAATGGGTTGTTTGGGAAGGGAATTTAAAGCTCATCCAGTGCCACCCCTGCCATGGCAGGGACACCTTCCACTGTGCCAGGCTGCTCCAGCCCCAGTGTCCAACCTGGCCTTGGGCACTGCCAGGGATCCAGGGGCAGCCACAGCTGCTCTGGGAATTCCATCCCAGTCCCTGCCCACCCTGCCAGGGAACAATTCCTAATTCCTAATATCCCATCCAGCCCTGCCCTCTGGCAGTTTAAGGCCATTCCCCTTGTCCACTCCCTCCAGGCCCTTTCCAAAGTCCCTCTCCAGCTCTCCTGGAGCCCCTTCAAAGCCCTGTGACTAAGTTGTGTTGACTGCTCAGCACTATCATGGTTCAGGAACTAATCCAGTTACAACTCTCACATGAGTGTTTTAAAAAAAGAACCAGCACTTGGAAAGCTGAAAAATTAGTGTACATCTTAAATACTAAAAGAAAATATGAAGTATACCATTATTTTTTCTATGCAATGTTTCTACTAATTTTACCCTTCTAGGTCAAGGTAGCTATTAAGGAAAAAAAAAAATCAACTGCTGCTGACTTAAAGTTAAAAAACAAAATATATCACAGAGATCATTCAATGGTTGGCAACACCATCTTTAGGAGAAGGAAGAGGGCCTTCAGTGCTGCCTGGAAAATGTTGGCTCCACACACTTTTTCCAGGATGCCTCTAAAGACACCCCCTATGAAATCTGCCCTGTGTAAAAGCCCTGCAAGTGCTCTGTCAGCCCCAGGACTGAAAAACAACCATGAGGGAAAACACAGTCAGCACCTGCCACTGCGTGGTGGTGAATTCAGCCCTTCCTCTCACAGCCAGAGCACTTGGGCAATATTTTCTCAGGTTTAGTTTTGCTCTCCTACCACACACCACTAAATATAACCCTGGGATGCAGCCCATTTCTGTCGAAACAGAGCAGAGCAAAACAAAGCTGCTTTTTGTTTCAGACATAAAATCTGAAGGAGAGCTTTTGTGATGATTCCTTGTGAGTGAAATGTTGCCTTTTTCTGCTTCCCTTCCACAAATACAAATGACATAAATGTGTGAGTGAGCCTGCACTTTAAATTATGGACATTTGGAAACATCCTCCACCACCTGCCCTCATACCTGTGCAGACGTGGACCCCAATTCCCAAAAGCAATTCTGTTACAAAGAACTATTTGGCCCATTCACTGAATTTTTAGGAAACAGAGAGCTAGCAACATCCTTTACTTTAACTAGCACAGTTATTTTTTTTTTTCCTGGGGAAAGAAACTTGGGCTAAAGGGACTCCAAAGTGAAAATCAATCAGTAGCAGCCTACAGCACTTCTACAAGCAGTGGTGCATTAAAAACACTCTTGTAAACACTGAGCAGTAAATGATGTGGAAGATCCAGTAGCACAGAGCTTTTGGCAATCTGACAGGGCTTCTGAGATGGCTTTCTGATCTAATATAAACACACAGGGGTGGGGAAGAAGATCATAAATAAGTCATAACTTTTCATTAAAATCCAGAAGCAGATGGTCAAGAGTTTTGTCTCTTTAGCTCACTGGGTGGACAAGCAAATCCCCCATCCATCAAATCTCCTAAGGCCACACTTAATTTCAGGCATGGAATCAACTCCATGGGATTTAACAGGACTACTCTGGTACTTCAAATTGAGTGTGTGCCCTAAACCGCTGAGCCAGGGCTTAACTCAACTGCCTGGAACAAACTTCTACAGCACAGAAAGCAAAACTGAAAATGCAAGCAGACGCTAGAAAATGGTGTTTCTAGTGCCCAGAACAACAAGAGAGTGACTGTCTACAAAGGGGTTTTTTTAAGGACTTTCTGTGAGTCTGCTTTATTTCTGTACCACCGGGGGAGCAGGGTGGAAAAGCAGCTTTTGGAAAGTGTACCCAGAATGAAGGGTGCAGCTCTGCAGTGATTCATCCCCAGCTCCAGGTCTGAAATGAAACCAGAGATGTTTTTCTTCACGGCTGCCTGTTATTTTTGCCCTTTGTAAATATACTGTGTTACACCTGGAATTTACAAAAAATAAAACAATTTAAAAAATAAAAAGAGGTAAGACTACACACAGTCATGGTACCCAAGAACACTTTGTCCAGTCTTGAGATGATAAATGTCTGCTGAGAAAGTATTTTTTCCTTAGACCTGAAAGCCTCACCTTAAAGCAGGGTTACTTAAAATCAAGCTGATGTGATAGCTAAATTTATCACCCATCCTACTGAAGCTGACTGGAGTTTTGCCAGTCATTGACTCTGATGAAAGCAGATGTAAGTTCATAAATAAGTGCATGAAGCACATTTTTTCCTTTTCACTATGCTACTATTTTCCCCAGGTGACATAAAACACCTGTGTTGTGCTGAAATGCAAGGTGTCAGAGAAACTCAGATTAGGAATCAGCAAAACCCTACATGTGTTGTTCCCTTAATATACATGCCTCTGTTCAATAATTCTAAGTTTCAGAGGGAAATAAATGAGAAAAAAATGTATTCTCCAAATATCTACAGGTCTTCTTAAGTTTATTTAGCAAGCACAGCTTGGATTACAGAGGATACTACCAGGTCAGCTCATACTGAGGGCATTGCAAAGCTTGCTCAGCCTCATCCTCATTCACTGCAGCCACTCAGGTTGTGGTAAACTTGGTCAGTGCTTCCTCCCCCAAGGAGTTTGTCACTGGAAAAGTGGCCCATCAAGAAAAAAACTCAAACTTTCCCAAAATTTATTAGTTTGAAGGGCAATGGGGACAGCCAGAGGCTCCCAGGTGAGAAGGAGCCTGTGCTGGGACTCTGAAAAGCACTTCCAGGGTGGTTCTGGAGACCTCAGTCAAGAGAACCACAGAATCCCAGAATGGGTTGGGTTGGAAGGGACCTTCAAAATCACTCAGTGCCACCCCTGTCCCTTCCAAGACTTCTTGTGAGAGCAGAATTTCCCACAGAGAACTCCAGCACAACAGAGGCATGAAAATGCCAGAAAACTCACACTGGTTGAAAGATCTGCTCCCACAGGCTCTTGCCCAACTGCTCAGTGACCTGGGCTGGGAGCTGTACACAGAGAAGTAAATAAATGGGTAGTAAAAACTGGAGAAGGGATGGCCAGGGTGGGAACAAACTGCCAGGTCTGTGGAAGGCAGGGAAGTCCCTCAGAAACACACCACTGGCTAAAGCTGCTTAAACTGGTGCTGAAACCATGTTGACACTCTGCTACTCTTCGCTTAGGACTGCAAAAGCAGTCCTAAGAAGACCAAAAAAAAAAAAAAAAAAAAGTGCAGTCCCCCCATGGCCACTCAGTCATGGCACTGCTCTGCTCCATGCTGGGCTTTGCCTGGTCCAGCCGCCCCAGCAGGCCATGGAGAGGCTGGAATGGGCCATCCCCCTGCAAACAGAGCACCCAAACCTGGGGAAAACACCCCTGTATGGGGTGCCCTGGGCTCGGTAGGTGCTCAGGGTTATGTGGGACTGGCCCAGGGTCACTCAGAGATGTCACCTGGAGCCACCCCTGGCTCCTTTCTCCTGTGACAGAGCTGTTGCCTTTCTGCAAACACAACAGAAGGTGCTTCTTTCCTGAGCTGTACACACAGCAACCACTCATCCCCAACCAAACAATAACTGGCTAATTCAATCTTTTCATTTTCTTTCTTATTTTCTTCCCCTTAGCTTTCCCCAGCTATCCTGCAACCCACAGCTGCTTCCAGCCTCAAGGCCATGGTGGCAAATGCAGGCAGTCAGAGTCTGGCTCACTAGAGGCCAGTCAAGCTATAAATATTCCCTGCCTGGCTCTTTGTGCTCCCAGTGTGGGGAAACAGCTGGTTTAAGTTTGACTGCACGTTGTCATTTCTCCATTAGTGCAAACACTTCAATATTTCTTACGTGTCAGGTTGGAGTGAAGAAAGGGAAAGCAGGGAAGGGGGTCACGAAAAGCCAAAGCTAAGAAATGATGTTCTGTATA